GTCCTGTCATGCCCTTATCTCAGAGATATTGGTCCAGACATACCGTTATCTGAGATACAATGGTCCTGACATGCCCTTATCTGAGAGATAATGGTCCTGGCATGCCCTTATAGTAGTATAGTATAGTATAGTATAGTATAGTATAGTATAGTATAGTATAGTATAGTATAGTATAGTATAGTTAGTATAGTATAGTATAGTATTGTATGTATAGTATAGTATAGTATAGTATAGTATAGTATAGTATAGTATAGTATAGTATAGTATAGTATAGTATAGTATAGTATAGTATAGTATAGTATAGTATAGTATAGTATAGTATAGTATAGTATAGTATAGTATAGTATAGTATAGTATAGTATAGTATAGTATAGTATAGTATAGTATAGTATAGTATAGTATAGTATAGTATAGTATAGTATAGTATAGTATGGTATAGTATAGTATAGCATAGTATAGTATAGTATAGTATTGTAAGTAGTAATATTGGATTGTAGTATAAAACAGCATATTGTAATAAGACCTAAGTTAATTTAATCTTTGAGGATGATATTGATCTGCGGGTATGATTTGAGATTTTTTTTGAGATTAGGTCCTATTTTGGCAAAAGAAAAAAAGATAATTGCTAGAAAATATGCAGATGAGCTCTATCAGGACGGGAGAATATTATTGACAGATCCGTTTTTATCGGTCCTATCGATTATCGAACCTATCTCAGAGATACTGGTTTTAGCCCGAGAGAAAATTTTCTGATCAATCTGAAAGGATTTTATTTGCTATTGATTCGTATCTCCTCTTCAATAGTCCAGAATGTTTCTTATCTCTAAAGGACTGCGTCTTATCGAACCAAAACCACAGAGTATCTGGATGGTGACTATGAATTGATATTTCTCTCTGAACCACTTTAACTATTTCCATTTCATTTCAATATTCCATCACGTCTCATCAGTCCGTGTCCTTGCATTAACCGTGACACTGTTTTCCCCGAAACCGAAAAATCAATACCCCTCCAATATGAAATGAATTCCATTTTGGTGTAAAGAAATGCATTTTATGGCTGATTCACATCAACCAGAACAAACATAAAAATCCCATTTGGTTTATTTGCTTGCAAAACGGAATGCCAAGGAATAAATAAAAATTACCATGCGATTTTTATGGGGTTTCATTTGGCCGTTAAGAAGATTTCCTTTTTGCAGCGTGCAGAAGAGAAGCCAAATAAACGAATAATACAAAATGGAATTAAAATGCGACTACTTGAAAACAAATATAAATAAATATGTTTATATGTACCACTGTCCGTGGCGGGGGTGGAGGAAATGTAATCAATATAAATTACTTCAATGGAAGGTAGTGTAGTTCTGCAGCAGGTGGGAGATGAATGAAGTACATTTTCTGTTAGCAATTGCAAAATGTGGGGAAAATTGTTGCCTATATCTCTTGCACAACGAACAGGATGCATCATTTTTATATCCTTTACTTATTTTTTTTATTTTTTTTTTCTTTTTTATTTTTTGGACGACGATTTTTTTATAATCTGAACTTTTTTTACTGGAAAATTTTTCACCCAAAAATCTTCAATTAAATAATTATACATTAACCAAATTACGAAAAAATATTAAAGAGTTGTTACTTGATTTATAGTGTGTTTCTGTTAGACGATTCCAATTTGAACTCCCAGAAAACCATTCCTTGTATGTCTACAAGGGTATACATATTCCATATTGCCACATCGAAATAACGATTTGGGATCCTAGATCTTTTTCGACCAAATCCGTTTCGGGACATTTGCAGTCGATGTCCGTCCGTCTGTCAGTCTGTCTAGCTGGCTAGTGCGCGTGATATTTCTTGATTTTAGTATCCAATTAGGTTCAAACTTGGTACATTGTAATATTATTATCAAACTTCGGTTTCGGTTTACCCCTTCTGGTACCTCCCTCCAAAAAGGTGAACATTTTTCAAAAAATATTTTACAGCACAGAAAGAGAAAATATAATCTGAATTTGCTGCAACTTTGTAAATCTTAATATTTACGTAAGTGCTAGGTCATGTAAGAAAATGTACAATGTTGGTCCAGTCCATCCAGTACCTCCATTTCTATCAACACAAGATCTGGTAAAAAGATGGTAGATATCGGACTATTCCTTCTGGTACCTTTACCACAAAGGATCAAAGTTTCGAATAACTAATATGATCATAAAATCCGAAATATGCCTCAGGTTCTCTTCATATTTCACACATTCCATTATTTATACTAACACAAGATGTGCTGCGAAGGTGGAATCTATCGGTCCAGTCCTTCTGATACCTCCGTCACAAAGCGTAAAATAAGTTGATATCTATGAAGCTCATAAAACGCGATATTAACATCCTATTCTATTCAGACTTGGTACATCCCAATATTTCCATGAGCACAAGATATATGGTAGAGATCGGACCATTGTTTTCTGGTACCTACCCCATGCACAGGGTTCATGATTTTGAAAAACAAGAAGCTTAAAGAAAGCAAAGTTAGCATCCAACTTTCTTCAATTTTCACACATACAAACATGTTTGCTAACACAAGATCTGTTCTGAAGATAATATGTATCTGCGAAGCCCTCCTGGTACCTCACCCACAAAAGGACACAATTTTCAATACTTTTATCGGTCATTACTTACGAAACCGGTCAGCGATTCTTTACAACTTGCGATATCTAAATATTTCTCTCAACCAGAGATCTGATGTGAATACGGAACTCATGATTTAGCATTAAATTGGATATAAATGTTCAATTATCTTATAATTTTTCATTTCCTTAAAATTATCACATACAGGGTGAAATAAAAAACTGCAAAAAAGTAAAACGCCAAAATATTTACTTTTTTATTATTTTTTTATGAATCAAAGCAAAAAATGTCGGAAATAGCACCAAATTTTAGAATCATTTTAGATTTGTACAAGTTAGCCACCTTTGGAACGGATTACAGTCTTAAAATGCGAATGTTGTTCTGTGGGGTTTTGGCCCATTCCCGGCGTAACGCTTTCTTGAGGTAATCGACACTTTGGTAATTTTTAGTGCCAACCTTGCTTTCCAAATCACTCCAGACACAATAGCCCAACGGATTGGTATCCACAGATTTTGGTGGCCATTGTCGCTGGAAATGCAATGTCGCTAAGTGCAATGGTGCTGAGTCCTGTTGGAATGTCCAAGGTCTGCAGCCAAAATGTTTGCGTGCCCTAGGCTTAAATATACCCTCCAGAATATTTTCGCGTTAATATTCGGCATTTATTCTTATGCCACGGTCGATTATACCAAGCGGAGAGCGACCATCGGCTGTTATGGCGGCCCACACCATCACCATGGCCGGGCCTTGAGTTCTGGTGGCCAACCGAAGGTGCACATTTTTAACTGACCTCTTTGGGAAGTAACCACGATCATTTTGTTTGCTTACAAACTGCTGGACAATGAATGTTTTCTAATCGAGAAAACCAAATTCGGCATAAGATTCCAAGTTGATTTAGCGATGTCCGCCTGTCTGTCTGTCTGTCTGTTGTAATCACGCTATCTTTCGAACGAATTGAGATAGATGGCTAAAATTTTGCACACATGTTTATTTTTCCAGTAGTCAGGTTAAGTTCGTAAATGGGTCATGTAAGTCCACGTTTTCATATAGCCCATATATATCGGTACCTCCCGATATTCGGTATTTTGATGATTTTTACGACATTATTCACCGGAATTGCTACAAATTTGGTATTTGAAGTTCGTAATTGATATTACAGCCTCTGACAGAAAATTGTCTGTGCAGATCCACGTCTTCATATAGCCCCCATATAACGGTACCTCCCAATATTCGGTATTTTGATGATTTTAGCGTCATTATTCACCGGAATTGTTTCAAATTACGTATATAGAGTTCGTAATAGAAACTACAGTCTGTAACAGAAAATTGTCTATGTAGGTCCAGGTCTTTGTTTAGGCCCCATATATCAGTACCTCCCGATATTCGGTATTTTCACGAATATAGTTACAATATCCTCCGAAATTGTTTGAGATATCGTATTTGAAGTTCGTAATGGATGCTACTGCCTGTGACAGAAAATTGTCTATGCTGATCGAGGTCTTCGCACTGCTCCGATATAACGGTACCTCCCTATATACGGTATTTTTAATGATTTTAGCTACATTATTCACTGTTTATTTCAAGTTTCGAATTTAAATAGGGTAATGGCTTGTGACAAACAATGCCTATGTAGGTCCATGTCATATAGACCCAAATACGGTTATATTCGGTATTTTTAGAATTTTATCAGAATTTTTTAAAGATTTTATTTTTTGAAAATGTCTAAGTTCATTCTAAATGGTGAAGGGTATTAAAAGTTCGACCCGGTCGAACTTACTGCTTTCCAACTTGTTTTTATCTCACTCTATATGTCATATAAAGTGAAAGAAGTAACTAACATAGTCCAAAACTGGCAAGTCTCATTATTTATATAATATTTTTTGTAGATCCGATATGAAATGGACAACTTTGGCTAAATCCTTCGGAACCTAATCCATAGAGGAGGATCATAAATTTTAATAATTAAAACAGAAACCAAAATGTTTTTTAAATAATCGAACATTGACTGAGGGTATACATCTGTCGGCAAAACCGATTCTGATACTTTTTATCTTTTTTTTTTAATTTCTGAGTTCCCCTTCAAATCGTCAGAAGCAGAAACAGTCCCTTGATTAAATTAACATCCAACATTTCTTACTTCGCTTCTATCGATTTAATTAAAGCAACCTCAAAACCTATTTTATTTATTTTTAGCAATCTCTGCGTGTAAGAAGTTCATTTGCCCCCGGGGCAATAAAGTTCGCAACAAAATTCCATTTCTTTTGAAAGTGTATCTTTTATTGAAAAAAAAGAGTGAAACGAAAAAGTTATTTCGAGTTCAATACCCTTCAAATGTTTTCGTTTTTGTTCTTATTCCCGTTTTCTTCTCTTTCTTCTTCTTCTTCTTCTTACAGTCGCCAGTGACATTGTGTAATCTGGGCGTTGGAGCCACATTTGGAGAATCGATACTTCACGATTTACCGCGCGACAGTACTGTGGTCACAAAAACCACCTGCGAGCTGCTGCGAGTCGAACAACAGGATTTTCGTTTGATTTGGGAGGTAAGTTGAAAAGCATTAAATGAATGCCACAAAAGGGATGGGGAGGGGAACGAGAGCGAACGAGCGAGCAAGGGAATTCAATGGAATTTAAAAAGGTATTTCTTGTGGGCTGATAAACAAACTCACACACACACACACACACACCGAGAAACTCAAATGAAAACTTGCAATTCGTAATGGAATTCGAATTTCCCTTCTGCCCCTTGCTTTTTCATTTGTATGTTTTTTTTTATCTCAACCACAAAAATATTCATTTGTTTGGTCGGTACATGGTAATGATTTCGATAATGAAAATTGCTCAAGGGAAAATTATTGGCAAAGTTTTGTTCGGTAATATCAAATAGAACGGTGGTTTGGCACCACAAAAGAGTGTTTGTGAAAATACAAGTTGGAAAGTGAAATAAAAATCAGGACATTCATAATATTGTTAAAGGGGGTTTAATTTTTATTTTTTTTTTATTTTTTTTATTTTTGTATTTATACCCTCAACCATAGTATGTCATTCCGTTTGTAACACCTCGAAATATACATTTTAGACCCCACAAAGTATATATATATATATATTGTTGATCAGCATAAAATTCTATGTCGATTAATCAAAGTCCGTCGGTCCGTCCGTCTGTCTATCCGTCTGTGGAAATCACTCTAGCTTCCGAACGAAATGAAGTAGGTTGAAAATGGGCCATGTAGATCCACGTCTTCGTATAGCCCCCATATAACGGTACCTCCCGATATGCGGTATTTTGATGAATCTAGCGACATTATTTACCGGAATTGTTTCAAATTTTGTATTTGAAGTTCGTAATGAATGCTACAGCCTATGACAGAAAATTATCTGCGCAGGTCCACGCCTTCGTATAGGCCCCCTATAACGGAGATCCCTTTTTGTGAGGAATGTACCAGAAGGAGTGGACCAATATATTTCATCTCCGCACCAGCTCTTGGTTTTATAAAAATATGGGGATGTGTGAATTTTATAAGAATTATAATTATTCAAAATGTTTACTCTTTGTGGGGGAGGCCCTTGATTGAGTGCACCGATATTGTCAATTTTTGCACCTGACCTAGAACTAACGCAAATATTAGGATTTACGAAGCTATTGCTTCATTTTTGTTCAGAATTAGTTTTTTTTTTTAAATTTTGATCTTTTGTGGGGGAGGGGGGTACCAGAAGGAATGAAACGATATATTCCATCTTAACACCAGACCTTAGGTTAATATAAATATTAGGATGTGTGACATTTGAAAACAATCGGACTCTTAAATCACATTTTATGAGAGTTGTAATTATTTAAAATGTTGACCATTTGTGGGGGAGATACCTCTGACCTTGCACTGACGCAAATATAAAGATTTTCAAAGTTAGAGCAAAATCGGATTATCTTTTCTCTTTCTGTGCTAAAAATATATATTTTAAAAATGTCGACCTTTTGTGGGGTAGGTTCCAGAAGAAGTTGACCGATATATTCCATCTTATCACCAGATCTTAGGATTATAAAAGTATTGGGATGTGTGAAATTTTAAGACAATCGGATTCTTATAATTTTTACCATTTGTGGGCTAGGCCCTTGATGGAGTGGACCGATATCATCAATTTTTGTACCTGACCTAGAACTAACGCAAATATGAGGATTTGAAAAGTTAGAGCAGAATCGGATTATCCTTTTTTTCTGTGCTAATTGTTTGTTTTTTTAGAAAACTTCAACCTTTTGTGGGGGAGGTACCAGAAGGAGTGGCCGATATTGCCCATCACCGAACTCGAAATAAGTTTGACAAAAATATTACGATGTACCAAATTTGGACCAAATCGGATACTCCCTTCGAGTATCGAGCTCACCAGCCAGACAGACGGACGGACATCGTTAGATAGACTCCAAATGTCCTAAAACGGATTTGATTCAAAGAGACCTATGGTATATAACTGTTATTTCACCTAACCAAGTTTTGACCTTATCAAATGATATATACTTTCTGTAGCCATATGACTGAGGGTATAAAAACTTGGCCAGTTTAAACATAAGGCTGTTTTTTACAGATAATGCTGGTTTTTTGGGAAATCGTACTAGAACGGTACGAAAAATATTAAAAAGTACTAAATATGGTATCCTTTGTATTTGAGGAAGCAACAGAGCTAGAACTATGAAATTTGTAATGAATGTCACCCATGGTGTGTATGATAGATGTAGCAAAGAGTTTTTTTAAAAATCGAACCATAAGTTTACAAAAAGTACTAAAATGTACTAAAATTGTTATATGAACAGTTAGAGCTAAAAACTCTAAATTTCGAATAGGAATCAAGGAAGAGGAGTAGAGTGGATGTAAGGTATGTATACGAAAAGTACTAAATGGTACTAAGTTTAGTATAATTTGAAATTGGAGAAACGGTTGAAGCTGAAATCCAGAAAGTGCCCCAAAATATGTACTTATTTGCAGGAAAAGTATTGAATGGTACCAAATTTAGTAGCATTTCGATTTTTTTTTTTTTTTTTTTTTTTTTTGAGAATAACCAATAGAGTTGGAGTCCTGAATTTTTGGAAATAACATTACTGTCGGATTGTGGGATTGGGATATGAAGGTATTATTGGAAATTTATTTTTATTTGTACGAAAATACACTAAAATGTACTAAATGTTGTACATTTATAATTTGAGTGAACCGATTTTTATTAAATTGTGTCGTGCAGATTGTTATGGATATTTGAAATTTGAAATGAGATACAAGGTAAAGGAGTATAGTCGATGTAAGAAGGTAGTTCTGGGGGTGTGTGTGTACTCATGTATACGAAAGGTACAGAGTTAGTTTAGTACAATTTGAATTTGGACGAACGAAATACTAAAATTTGAGATTATTATTACTAGCAGAGTTTAGGATTGGATTATGGAGGAAGTGTCCGAAATTTGTACATATTTCCACATAATGTACTGAATGGTACTAAATTTGGTACAATTTTGATGTGATTGTATCGATAGAGCTGGAATTCTGAAATTTAAAATTTAAGGCTACCATTGTATTCCAAGACTGAGGAATATAGGTAGTTTTGGAAAATTCGTAGTTAGGTGTACTAAATCGTACTAAATTTGGAAGAGCTGATAGAGTTGGGATCCTGAAATTTAGAAATAAGATTCCTAATGGACCTTTTTGTTTACTTTTATATAATTATTTAAAACCAACAGTATATATTCTTGATCGGCGTAAAATGCTAAGACGATTTAGACCTGCCCGTCCGTCTCTCCGCCTGTCCATCCGTCTGTTGTAAAAACGCTAGAGTTACAACGAATAAAGAAAGGAAGCCAAAATTTTGCACAGATCAGTATTTTGTCTGCAGGCAGGTCAAGTTCGAAGATTGGCTATATCGGTCCACGATATCGTATAGCCTCCATATAACGGTACCTACCGCCCCCCCTCCCACCATATTCGGTCTTTTGATGATTTTAACCACATTTTCAATGAAATTGTATGAAGTTCTACACAAGGGGTTCTTTGTGAGTTCCTTATCCCCTGAAAGAAAATTGTCTTTACAGGTCCACGATATTGTGTATACCCATATAACGGTACCTCCCGTATTCGGTATTTTGATGATTTTACCCACATTTTTCAATGCATTCGTCTGAAATTCTACACAGGGAGTTCTTTGTGAGTTCTTTATTCCCTGAAAGAAAATTGTTTTTATAGGTCCCCGATATCGTGTAGCCCCCATATGACGGTACCCCCGATATTCGGTATTTTGATGATTTTAGCCACATTTTTTCTACCTTTTTGGGTACTTTACCCCCGGTAGAGTATTGTCTATATATGTCCCCGGTGTCGTATTTATCCATATAAAGGCACTCCCCTATATTTGGTATTTTGATGATTTTAGCAACATTTTTTAATGGAACTGTCTGGAAAGTAGGTTCTTGCGAGCAGTTTATACTCTAGAACATACATAGGTTCAAGATATCGTATAGCCTCCATATGACGATACCTCCCGATATTCGGTATTTTGATGATGTTAGCGACATTATTAACCGGATTTTTCTTTAATATTTGCATTTAAAGTTCGAAATGGGTACTACAATCTATGAAGAAAAATTGTATTCGTGTAGCTCGCATATAACGGTACCTCCCGATATTTGGCATTTTCATGATTTCTGCGACATTATTTACCGGAATTATTTCAAATTACGCATTTAAAGTTCGTAACGGGTACTACAGGCTTTGACTAACATTTTTGTATGCAGGTTCACGTCTTCGTATTGCCCCCATATAACGGTATGTATTTGAGCGGTATTTTTTGCAATTTAGCTAGTTGGAGGGTAAAACTTAGTTGCTTCTCTATTATTTTACTTTTGTACTTTGGGTTCACCGTGAATGAGTTTTCTATGAGCGTCCAGCTTTGCACAATTATTCCCAATATCTATCTTTCACTACCTGTAACCCTTTTGTCCTCAATTCTGTGCGTTACAGCAAATCACATTTTACCCTTTTCTAACTAACCATCGCATTCGTATACTCCTTCCGGACTTTTAACGACTGTACTTAACTTCAATAAAACAAATGAGACAACAGACACAACAGCAGCAGCACACCACGCACAGCAGTACCTTAACAGTTACAACAGCAGGCAGGAAGGACTTCCAGGAAGGATTGTCCTCAGTAAGCACTGAACGGAATGAAAATGAGAATTCAGTTAATGAAAACATTTGAATGTTTTGCTTCATGAAGATGTGTCTGTCTCATTGGTGTATTGTGTGGTTTTTGTGTGTGTGTGTGTGGGTGCTTGTGTTTGTATGAAAGTGTGCTCCCACAGATAAGATACTTAAGCGTTCGAGTAAATACAGTTACATTGTTGTCACACTGACACAAAAAAAACGTTAATTAGACAGCTTTTCTTTTGCTGTCACAGCTTCAAGTCACTCCTTCCCCACCACCCAGACCCTCGATGAGCTATTGTTGTGCATTTATTGCTGTTGCTGCTGTTGATGGTGGCAATACAATTACCAAATGACAGTGTGTACACA